CTTCGCTGTCTGTGCCCTGTGTAATCCCTTTCCCTTGCGTGTGGCCTGGACCAGTGACTTGCTTCTAATGAACAGAATACAGTCTTGCGTCGCTTAATGACGGGATATGTTCTGAGATATGCATCGTTAGGCGATTTCGTCATTGTGCGAACATCATGGAGCGTACTTACACAAACCTAGATGGTACAGCCTACTACACACCTAGGCTACATGGTACTAACCTTATGGGACCACCGTCATACATGTGGTCCACCATTGACCTAAACGTTGTTACATGGCTCGTGACTACTGCAAAAGTGGTGGGATGTCACTTCCACGATTAGGTGACAAACTGTGACTTCTGCCTTGTGCACACTCTTTTGTTGACACTCCCTCTCGCCGTCTTGCCTGATCACTGTCATGTTGCAATGCTCTATGGAGAGGCCCACATGGCAAGGAGCAGAGGGAGGCCTCTGGCTAACAGCGTGTGAGGAACCGAGGCATCTGTACCATAGCTCACAGGGACCCAAACCTGCCAACAACCACAAGAGGGAGCTTGGAAGCAGCTCCCGTCCCAGTCCACGCCAAGACGACGGCAGCCCTGGCTCGCACCTCGCTTGCTGTCTGTGAGAGACCCTGAGAGACAGAAACTGCGAGATAATACATGTGTGTTGTCTTAAGCTGCGAGTTTTGGGGTCATTTGTTGTGCAGCCATAACTAACTAACACACCCCGGATGAAGGCAGGGTCTGTAGAAGGAGGAGGAACTAAGATCAGACAGACGTACCTGTGATGAGAACCACAGAATCACAGGCTCTCCCAGGAAGAAGGGACCTACCTCTTTCTATCCCCCATCTAATGCTGGAACCCACCAGCCTCTGTTTCCATTGCTATGGTGACGAGAAACCATCTCCCATTGCAAGAACGGCCTCTCCCATCCGGAGCAGAATCTTTATCCCTGCAGCCCCCACCCACGGCCTGGTTCTGCCCCGGGGACCACAGAGCACGAGCCTAATTTCTTCTTCTCAGCATGGCCTGAACGGGTAGATGTGGAGTCAGAAGGTCCTGGGATCAAATCTCAGTGCTGCCACTTACAGCTGTGTGACCCTGAGCAGGCCAGGGAACCCTTCACTGCCTCATCTGGAAAATGGAGATAATAACAGCATCTGCCTTTGGGGCTGTGCTGAGGTCGAAATGAAATAAACTCAGAATGTCTTGAGCGCAAGGCCTGGTGCAGAGCAGGTCCTCAGTATTATTCCTCAAGGCTACTGTGGCAGGTTAGAGATGACTGCAAATCTGTTGATTCCTCCTATCAAGACGTGGGGTCTTTGTCCTCTCCTCTTGAATCTGGGCAGGCTCTGTGACTGCTTGACCAATAGAATGGGGTGCAAGTGACCTGTGCTAGTTTCAGGGACCAGGGTTTAAGAGACTTGCAGCTGCCACTCCTGTCTCTTGGTGCTCTCCCTTTGGAGCCCTTGAGCTAATTGTCCCGAGGTCATCATGCAGAAGAGGCCACACCTGGGGGCTCTGGTCAATAGTTCCAGCTGAGCTCAGCCCTCCAGACATCCGAGTGAGTGAAACTGTCTTAGATCCTCCAGACCAGCCCATCCACCAACTGAATGCCACCAAGCGAGCCCCATCAATGGTACACAAAACAAAAGAATCACCCGAATGAGCCCTGCTCTGATTCCTGGCCCACAAAACCAGGAGAGACAGTAAAATAGTTGTTGTTTTAAGTTGCTAAGTTTTGGGCAACTTGTTGCATAGCTATAGCTAATCAGAGCAACCAGTGTCCAGATACTTGAAGGTAACTGTTTCTTCCAGATTGAACCTGCTCACCCCCTCAGCTGTTGCTCACACGATGGGATTTTGAGTCTTAGGACTATTGTGATCTACCGTTTTCTGGACAGTGGAAGCCCAGCTTTGAACACAGCCCTCAGGGCAGTCTGCCCAACTGGGCCAGTTAGGGCTCTATCCAGAATGATTTAACAAAAAAGAAATGATTGACTCACAGTGGCTTCAGGCATAGCTGGATCCAGGTGCTCCAATAATGTTGTCGGGGCTCCATTTCCTTTGTGATGACTTTATTTTCAGGCTCTTCTCATGAAGACAAAAGGCTTTAGAAACTCAGCTTCACATCCTCTCAGTTTCAAGGCTAGATGGAAAGAGTAACTGTCATTTTCCTGGTATTCCCAGCAAAAGTTTCACTGATTCTCTTTGGTTTGTGGCTGGATGACCCAATCAGAGCCAATCACTGTAGCCAGGGGGGTGGAATGGCCTGAGAGCCCACAGGTGGGGCCTATTCCATTCAAACCACAGGGGCTAAGAGTAGAGAGGAGTGATTCTACAAAGGAAAACTAAGGGGAAGGATGAATGGACGGCTGGGCAGCAGAACTATAAATACGGACCTCAGCAGTTAAAAGGAAAGTGAAAAATCACCTCCCTCATTCTAGATGGCATACTTCTATTAATGCAGGCTAGGCCGCATCATTGCCTAACACTGATGACTCACAGATTTGCCGGGGGGTGTCTTTCCTCATCTAATGCTGCTTGGCTTCACCTCCCTCACCCTCTACCATGGCAGGGATGCAACATTAGAAAGTCCTCCCTCTCCACCTCTGTCCCAAACGCAGCGAGGCTTTCAGGGGCATGTTGATGAGCAAGACCAGAACCGGGCCCCCTTCACCTTCGCTCATTGGTCATCCCTCCCCTCGCAGAGTCAAAATGATTCAAGAAAGACAGCTGAGGCCTGGAAGCAACTTGTACTGCCAACACGGATGGCCCAAACTCAGGGCTAGATTCAAAACTTTCAGGGCAAAAACAAGCCCTATCATCTCTTCACAGAGTTGAATTGTTTCCCCTGAGTGGACAAGTGACCATCTGATTTAACAGAAACCAGGAATTTTGCATATAATGTGTGTGTATATGCAAATAACAACAACAAAATCTGCCCACTGCCAGAGAGCAGACCTTCAAGGCTCTCAGTCCACAGAGCTGTCAGACACAGGGAGGTTTCTGAGACCTCGGCTGTAAAAATCAGAGTATGTTTGCATGCAACCCTTGAATTCTTGTACAATCTGATCATTCGACAGATGGGTAAACTGAGGCTCAGAGGGGCCCTGACATGTGACTGCCCCAAGGTCACTCAGGAAAAGGGTAGCAAAGTGACCATTAGAATTTAGTCCCTCCCACAGCTCAACTCTCCCTTCCTGCTTGTTGTTTTTATTTGAGTGACCACACAGGTCCCAAGGTGAAATCACGTTTTTTTACTTTCATTTTGCAATCGGCCCTAACTCAAGGTGGGGGCTAGGAAGGGAGGAGATATTGAGGGGATTACCCTCATTCATTCCTTTGACAAATATTTATTAAGCACCGATTGCAAATTGTGCCAGGGGCTGGAGACACATTTTGGGGCCAATGACTTTGGAGTTTTCAGTGGCAGGCAGGGCTGGGGAGGGACACAGATTCAATCCAAGAATCACACAAGTTCTTACATATTAAAAACACGGAAAGTGCCAGGAAGGAAAAGCACAGGACGTGTAGCAGTGCGTTCCAAGGCCGTCCTGACCGAGCATGGGGTTGGGAAGTGTTCTCCAGAGGAAGCCACGCTTGACCTGAGCTCTGGAGACATTTCCACAGGACCTTACAGTAAACGCAGCCAGAACAGCCTGCCCTCTGCCTGCCTCCTCACTCAACTCCCCGCCGCAGCAACCAGCACCCCCCAAGCCCTCCAGGGACCTTCCAGTAATCCTTTCCCGCACTCCTGCGATGACACACTCTGGGCATTCTGAGGGTGATGATCTAAGACCCGTTACACAGCGGCCAGATGCGTGCAGGTGGGGAAGCAGGATGTGGCTCTCCAGAGAGGAATTGGGACACTCCCTCTGCTCCTCCCCTGAGCATCCACTGGAAGAAAGTTCTTGTGGCATTTTCCCTTCCAAATGTTCCAGAGCGAGGCCAGCTTTCCAGCCGGCTGCTTCCTCCGCAGGCTGGACTACGATCCCTCCCCCCTCCCCTGCCTGGCAAAGACCTTCTCACCCTCAGGCCCAAGGCGACGGCCCACCTCCTCCCAGGCTGGACTGAGTCTCCTCGTCTCTGCTCTCCTTGCCCCTGAGTGCACGCCCCATCCTAGCCATGACCCTGCTATCACTTTTCCCTATGCACCCATGGGACTGCCCCCATGACTACGAGTTTCCTGGGCACAAGTCTTGTGGCTTCTTGATCCTTAATGCCCCCGCCCCCGCCCTAATTAGTAATGTCTACCCCTAGATGGCCTTCAGCACCAGCTGGACCCTCTGATTTGAATCACCAGGTTCTGCCACTCAGCAGTTCTGTGACCTTGGGCAAGTTACTTAACCTCTCTGGGCCTCCATTTCCTCCTCTTTAAAATGGGAATAAGGGATAAGGGATAGTCCTTACCTCACAGGTTACAGGATTAAATGAGATCTGGCACATAATTTACTTACTACAGTCCCTATCGCAGACAAAAGCAATCGATATACAATGGATGGATACGGCATCAACAACCATCCCCCCGCGGTTAACAGCATGCTACACAATTATTAAGCCTTGACAGGTACAGAGTTTTTAATAATCTGTCCTCACTTCCAACCGATTTTTCATCCGAGCAGGATCCCCAGGACCCGCTTACACCGGCTCTCTAACCACTCGGGGTCAAGCACAGGGCACGGGGGGCGGGAGCTGTGCACACAGCGGAGCGCGGGGGCAGGGCGCTCGGCACTCAGCCCGGGCGGCCGGGCACGCGAGGTCCGCGCTCTGCACCCGGCCCTTCCCGCGCCGAGGCGGCGCCCGGGCGCACGTGGGGCGGCTTCTGCGAACCGGAGCCCCGCGGCCCGTGTGCACAGCCGGTGCGCCCGGCCCCGTGCGCCGCGCGGGCCGCCGGTGACTCAGCGCGGGGCGTGTGCAGGCGGCGCCCGGTGGGGGGGGCGGGGCGGGCTTTTGCACTCGTCCCGGCTCCGACCCGCTATAAAGGTGGCCCGCCGCGCTCTCCGCTCCGCCACGCCTCCTCCGATCTCAGTCGCTCGTTTTGCCGTGGTCTCCAGACTCCAGGCCCCGCTTCACTTCGCCATGGATCCCAACTGCTCCTGCGTCACCGGTAAGGAGATTGGGGCCGGGACTGGGTGTCGCTTGTAGAACTAGGGGAAGCAGTTTCTGGCCCTTCCCGCTACTTAATCACTCAGTTTCAGGGTACTGTTTCCCCTTTTCAAAGCGTTTTGGTGTACCTTCCTCTACTCTAGATTAATCGGAGGCCCCCTTTTACCGGTAAGGAAATCAGGGTTTATGGCTTGCCCAGGTTCCCAGGAGTTGGTTATGGAACTGGGACTCGAACCCTGGCTGCCAGCACCTATTCTCGCGTTCAAGTCTCCAGGGACCGTTCTCACGTCTGTCTTTTCTCCTTGTAGGGGAATCCTGCACGTGCGCCACCTCCTGCAAATGCAAACAGTGCAAATGCACCTCCTGCAAGAGGAGTGAGTGGAATCCCCTCTTGGTCTACACCCTAACCGCCGCCCCTCCCTCCCCAACCCTCCACACCACCCTGAGAGAATTCAAACGGGGCAGTGGCCGCCCCTTTCTTGGGGAAGGTGGCGCCTCCACATGGTCCCTGTCGGGAGGAGGGAATCCTTAGTCATTTTTTTGTCCCAAGTGCTCATCTCTGCGGCCTTCTTCCCTTCCCCAGGCTGCTGCTCCTGCTGCCCCGTGGGCTGTGCCAGGTGTGCCCAGGGCTGCATCTGCAAAGGGGCATCGGACAAGTGCAGCTGCTGCGCCTGATTTCTGGGAGAGCCTGCCTCCCATGTAAATAGAGCAACGTGTGCAAACTGCATTTTTCTTTTTTCATACAATGCTGACCTAATTGCTACATTCCCTTTTCTATTAAATACGTGAGTGACAATAAAAGTTGTTGACTTTATTCTGACTGGTTTTTTTTCTCTACGTCGGAAATAAGGGATTTTGTGCCCACCAGGGCTGGGGTGGGAGATTGGACTACAAGTGCAGAGACCAGGGTTCTGGACTGAAATGTTAATCTCGAACAAACTGAGTGCCTTAAGGCAAGCCAGGTTACCTCCTCCAGCTTCATGTATAAAAGGGAAGAGTATTAGGCCAGATGCTATAAGGGCATTGGGCACCAGAGAACACAAACGAACATGTTCCCCTCTGATGTCACGTCAAGGGTTGATGGACCAGAAGCTTCTCAGTCCCTCCTTTTACATACTCTGATTTCCCAGGCCAACTTAAGTTCCTCATGGAGTTCAGACCTGATAGAATCTAAAGAGGGTAGACTCCAACACCACAGTTACTGGACTCTCTACCTGGGGCTCTCAAACTCCCTGGGGTGAAAGATGCTGTTAATTTTCTATCTGGTTTTTAATATCAAAGACTCTAAACTTTGGTAAGAAAGTTAATTACTGTAAAAAATTTTGAAAGGACACTATACAAAACCCATTTTTTGATTCAATATACAAATTTCAGTAATTGTGCAAGGAACAAAATAACAGGAAAAATAATTTAAAACTACACATTTGTTCATCAAAGGTGTGCATTGAGCACTAGAAATAATTCACAAACGCCATGGTGTGTGGCCCAGCCACACCTTGAGTAGCTTGGCCCCCAACATCCCCACGGGGGACCACCACTCTTGGCTTGCCCAGTGCCAGTGAAAGGACACCTGCCTCCCCTGTGTTGATGTGTCTCTGAATCTTTGGAAGCTCCTGCCTGAGTCTGGCTGAAATCGACCCTTCCTTCCAAATCTAGCCTTGGCTCCTTGAAACCAGCAAAGTGACTGAGGATTTGGAGGGAAGTGCCCAGCCAGTTCTCAGCAAGAAAGTACCCAAGAAAGGGTTCCAGATGAAGCACTTCACCTCTGCCCTTATGGGGGGTGGGGTGGGGTGGGGGGGGATGGAGTCTACTGTATGGAGGGCGTACTGGTCTCTAGTAGGCAGGAGTGAGGGGCTTAGTGATTTGTAGTTCATGCCAAAGGTTAGTCCCCCTCCCTGGCTATTTGTGGAGGGAACTGCTATTCCATGTTCAATCAAAGAGAAAGACGAGCCACGTGGCCCAGGAGTCAGGACCTCGCTTGCCCACGGGTGCCCTGTGTGAAGAGGGGATTTCAGAAGCCAGCCTGTGCCTAGTCCATGGGTTAAGGTGTCAGGCAGTCCTGGTTCACAGACCACTAGGCCGCTAACCGGCCAAGGGACCTGGGCAGGTGGCTCAACCTCTCTTAGCCTCCATCTCCTCATAAGAAAGGAAGATATGGCAATGAGAGGGATTAAATGAGATGGTATCCTGGCTCCTAGCTAGGGCTGCATGCACAGTGTCCATAACGTTCATTCTGTTCACAGTGCCTTTCGCGGACACAGAATCCTGTTGAGTCCCAGGAAGCTTTGGGGAAAGGCTCATTGGTTTAGAAGCATGACTCTAAACCATGTTGGTTGGAGGTTAAGGATGGGATTGTGAATTTAACAATCCACTGTCGGGCAGTGTGGATGACCTCCAAGAAGGCCCCGGGACAAGACACTGCCACAGCATCTGATACACACGGAAGCCTTTGTTACCCTTCATGTCATTTGGTTTTCAAAGAACAGTAACTGAGAAGAAAACAATAAGTGGCGAGAGTGCATATGCCATCTTCCAGAGAGGGTAAGCCACCTGCCCAAGGTCACACAGCTGGAAAAGAATGGGATGAATGAGCCTATGCTACAGCAGGCCTCACCCTCTGGCACTGCTGGCAGATCACGATGTCACTGCATGCGCCATCGTGCCTATCCCACTTCCAAGCTGGAAGGGCCCTTGGAGATGGACGAATTTGGCCCTTGGTGGAGAGATGGGAAACTGGAGCCCAGAGAGGTCACAGAGCTATGCACAGGGATCCCCCTGCCAGCTCAGGGCTCTGCCCACTGCTGCCTCTGGGCCAGGTGTTCAGTGTCCCCGTCTTTACTGTGATGTCGTGATGGAGGGCGGTGGGGGAGGGCATGATGCTGCAGTCAGCCTGCGGGAGTACCAACCCCACCTGGGTCACTCACAGCCCCGTGACGTAACCTGTCTGTGGCTCAGTCTCCTCCGCTGTCAAAGGGGCAAAATCCGGAAAAGCATACGGCTTAGAGGATGAAATGAGTCCGGACAAGTAAAGATCTTATGAAGGGGCCTGGCACGTGGTGAGGGGTCTAGGATATCAGCTAGTACTTCAATATTACTGTGCACAGTGTGGGAGATATTTATTGACGTCCAGACACATCAGCCAGGGCTGCAGGGCCTACTGCGTGTCCTGTGTTGTCCTCATCAACCACATGAGGATGTGACCTGGGGACCAGAGAGAGTCCTTCACTCTTCCTACACGACTGTGACAGGCACCAGGGACATGAGGCCATGAGGAACACTCTCTGGGCCTTCTCAGACATGGAAAGAAACCTGCCATTTCTTCCACCACCTAACCACATTTTATTGAACATTATCCTTTGAAATCATTCCTATTTGCTTTCATGTATTTGTAGGAAAAGCAAACTCTTTATCACCACTGAAAGTGAGAACCAGCCTTATTCCAGACAAAGAAGATAGCCAGAAAATTGCACAGAGTTTTCACTTAGGGATCACTTTTCTTGCTGCCCACGGTTCAGCTGGCAGCTTGCTCTTCTCTAGAGGTTTCCAGAGCAGAGAGTGTTGTGGACAGAGCCAGACCAGAGGCTGGCTTGTCAGGGACCTTCCCTTTCCCTCGGCAGCCCGACTGGATTCACTTCCCAGCTGACTGACCTCGGGCAGGTCATTAGGACTCCATGTGCCGAGGTGTCCCAGTAGTAAAAAGGGCTCATAAATACAAGGATTTTCCTTTCAGCCTGTTGTGAGGGTACGAAGATAAAAAGTGACGAAAACACGGCCTGGCACACACTAAACGCCACGGAATTGTTAGGGATGTTGGAAGGAAAACAGCCCCTTTCTCGCTGTGTTATCTATGTCTCCCTGTGACCGACAACGATCCTTCCTTTGGGGCGACCGACGCTTTGGGACCGCCTGGAGTGAGGGCCCCCCGCAGGCTGTGGGGAGCACTAGACAGTTTCATGGAAAGGCCCCGGGGCAAACGTGCCCATATAAGTCTTCCGGCGGCGACCGGAAAGAAGGAAGGAGGCAGGGGTCTCTGTCCCCCTGTTGCAGTGGACAAGAGACAAGGGGCCGAAGGCCTGCGTGCGGACAGGGAGAAGAAATGGGGGTGGGAGGCGAGGGTCACATACTGGCCAGTCTCTGCACCCAACGCCCTCAGGTCTTGCCACTGCCCCCGCCAAGCCAGGGACGAGAGCGCCAGGCTGGGGTTGCACACGGGCTCCGGGAACGGGCCAACCTGAGCACGACAGCACAGAGGAAGCACGCGCGGGGGGCCGGGGATGGGGAAGACGGCGACGACTCGGGGGCTGAGTTCCAGGAACACTTGGGGGCGGGGGTGGCGGCCACTCGGGGAAAACTGGGCAAGGGGCGGGCAAGAGGACAGGGACGCCACGTCCCGGCCGGCACACGATCACCTCCACACTAGCCACTGGGAAGGGCCCCCCCCCGCCGTGCGCACCGAGCCCAGCTGCGCCCTGCGAATCCTGCGCCCGGCCGGGTGCGCACCGCCCAGCCGAGGGCGCCGCGGGCCGAGCGGTCGCCAAGGGGCGGGGTGGACGGGC